TATATATATATATATATATATATATATATATATATAAACTAATATCAGCCAATAACTCATATGATAATATATATCATGCATCTCTTAGTTTAGTCCAATGGATGAGAGTTTACCTCTGCTGGTAGATGTTATAACTGTTTTTTTTATTTTACCTTTATTTAACCAGGAAGTCTCATTGAGATTTAAAATCTCTTTTTCAAGAGAGACCTGGCCAAGGTAGCAGCCATACAGTAAGACAATTTTAAAATACAAGACGTACACATTACAACAATATTTAAACATCCTCTCAACAAAAACAATCACAAGCTTCCAATACCACTCTCTTTATGATGCCTTTAAATTCACCAATAGACACACATTTATGTAGTTTTAGATCTTTTTGTAAATTATTCCATGCCCAGGGTGCATAATATGAAAACGCAGTTTTCCCCAGTTCTGTACAAAGTCGAGGTACGTTAAAAAAAAGAGAGTATGTTAAAAACTTTCTGAGGACGAGAATACAGTTTGCATTAAAGCTGTGTATGTAATAATCATGCATTTTCCTATTCTAGGGGATTTATACAAATATCACCTCTGCATGGATATAATATTGATAAAAATGTGTTTAAATGCACAACAATGACATTTTTTCCTTTTTTCAGGTGATTCAACGCAGAGAAGATGGCTCTGTTAACTTTTTCCGTGACTGGGAAGCTTATCGTGAAGGATTTGGCAAGATAACAGGAGAGCATTGGCTTGGTAAGCCTTCCGTGTCACTATCTGTAATGCAATCTGTCTGGAAAAAGCTTTAGTAATATTAATGTCACTAAAAGATGTAGAATATGTAAGCAGTTGTAATATGCTATGTCCATTACTGCATATTAAACAGCAAAATGCATTTTCTATCATATATAGTATATAATAAGTGCTATATACTATGTGATATCCATTATACAAATAGTTAGTTTAGTTCATATGTTATCAAACTATTTTTGTTGAAGGAGCAAAACTAACCAGAATAGCTGACCAACAGAAAGAACTGTTGTATAAAAGCGCAACCGTGAATCACAGTTTCACACTTTTTGGTTTTGACAGTAATGTTTTAAAAAGCAGGCTGAGGAGTTATTTTGCTTCTGTCATGACACACACACAAACACGCTGATCATGTTTGTCACTCTTTTATATATGACTGTTTTTCTGACAACTGTAAGGAACATGGGCATGTTCGGTTATTGCCACGGTGAGCTGCCAGCATGGACAAAATGCCAAATTGTGTGTCCAAAGCCGAGCGTAGCAGATGGCTGTGGGTGGACAGGGAGCAGAGCTTTATAAAGACAAGGAAACTCATCATAACATTCACTGATCAAGCATTGGAAATTTTGGTTCTATCCCATACTGGAATTACAGATTAGTGCTTGTTGATTCAGCATGTTTTTTAAGGGAGTAGTTGATTAAAATGTAAAATGCTGTCATTATTTACTCAACCTTATGTCATGTTAAAGTCAAATCAAAAAAATAAAATAAAATTGAATAAAATTGAATTAAATACATTCTCAGAATGCATTGTGACAAGGTCAGAGAAATGTGAAGTGTAAAGGTAACTTTTTAAAAATGATGGCCAATACAGATAAGCTAATTTGATAATACATTTTCAAATGTTATGACTGATAACTAATAAATAGCTGATATTCAAATTGTATGATATACTATATTATATTCTATAAAATAAAATAAAATCAGTCTATAAACTATTAAATAAAATATTAAACAAATAAAAATACTAAATAAAGACAATTTCAGAAAGCATTGTGACAAGCGCAAAGAAATGTAAAGTATAAATATATTTGTATTCCATTCCAAACTGAAAGGTATAAAACAAAACAAAACAAAACAAGTAGTCCATCTCTTCTGTTTCGTGTTTCTCATACAAAGCTATGGTATAGCTTCAAACTTGGAATAGAGTTGTATACTTTACTTTTAAGGTGCTTGACACACCTAGTTGATTTGAACTGTCATTGTATGGAGAAAAAAATTTAAGATTCTCAAAAACAATTTTTTTGAGAATCCAGTTTGAAATGACGTGAGGCGTTTAAATAATGACAGAATGTTTTGGATGAACTATTCTTTTAAACCTGATAGATGGAATAAGGAAAACATTGTGGTTTGTTTGTGTATTTTCCGTGACGGCCGGTTGCTCTCCAATATGTTGAATGTAAAGCAGATAAATAGCATCTTCTTCTATTTACTGCAAGGTTGCTCCTCTTTCGAGGAAAAAAAACATGGAAATATTTTCTGTGATGGCGATGCTTATGGGTTGTGTCTTGTTTCTTTTTTCACCTTTGCCTGATAAACATTTTAGGTCTAGACTTGTAGAGTTGTTGTCTGTAATGTGCGCTCAGGGTCCTGTGTCTCAATCAGCAATGATGAACTATGACAGGCCCGTCACAGAGTTTCATCTTTGAGAGATTGACAGCTTCACAACGATTGCAGGACAGCACTTGCTAGCAGCTCTCTCACGCCCGCTGTGGCTGAGAATGACTTTTCCCATGGCCTGCTCCTTTTTCTTCACAGTGAGTAAGACCAGCCTAGAGCAATTCCACAGGCTGTTCGACTCACGATATTGCTTGTGCCGCTGGTGGTCAGGGGTTCGGGTCCCTTTGGGCAAGCCCAGGATGGAACAGTCCTCCCTGGAGTGACGAGGTTCAAGGCCCTGCCTCGTGGTGAAGATATGCATTGGTGCCAATGAGTTGAGCTGCTCCAGCCCACGCTCTTAATCAATAAGAGACATGAGGGAGCTGGAGACAATTAACCTCCAGGGCTGGCGAAATGAGTTCCAGAAAACATCAGCAACACAGGCTCATCAGGAATGAGGTGACAAGGAAACCGGGGAGGGCAGAGGACCTGTAGCGAGAGACAATCTAGCCTCTCACCTCCAACAAATAGGATACGGAGCACAGTTCACAATAGCTCTGTTGCAAAACTTGCTTGTGCGCCATTATGAATTGAATTGGGAATGCCTTATAAATTCCAGTTTATAGCTGCTGGATTTAAATTGAGTCTGAAGTGAGGTAGCAAACAGGATGCAGAATTGCTGTATTTGAATGTGAGGAGTTAGAATTAAAATGAATTGGAATTCATACAACTAATTTTAATTAGAAAAGTTAAACATTGGAATGTTGGCAAATTGAATTAATAGTGAAAAAATTCTTCGAATAGAGTGCTACAGTGATTACGTGTTTTTGCAGTCCAACCCGGAAGTTAGCATCATTCTGGTTCCCTTGACAAAAACCCAACAGGATTTTTTCCATTGGCTTTTGGATTATTGCAGAAAATAAGCTTTGTGACCAGCAACCATTAATGATTCCTACACGTTTTGTTCATCATGGTCTTCTCAAATGAACACAACTTTTATGAATATTTCATGAATTATAGAATTCAACATGAAAATATCTTGATCTTGTGTTAACCACAGACCTATTTCTAAGACATTTAACCAAAAATCCATTTAAAAAAAAACATTGTCATTGGAACCAGAAGTGTTAAAGTACTAACTAATTTCTAGGGTTTGGCCTATGAAAATATGTCTCCCCTCAGTACTCTATTAAACTTCTTTACATTCCTCTTCCTGTCATTCCAGTTCAAATTCCAATTGAAATTCACACTCATAAACTTGTAATCTTAAACTGATTTAATTAGAGAGTGAACAGTGTGATACTCTAATAAATATAAAAATACACAAATTGAATAAGGTAATTGATCTTTTTTACTGATACTTCTCAATACTGAATAGAATATATTTATCAGTATTTCCTTTGGTTTCTGAACAGAACGAATGATCTGTTTCTCAGAGAAACTCATGAGCTACTTTTGGCGTGCATGCAGGCGAAGATCGTTTTAGTGCCACATTACCAATTAGCTTGAAATGCTTATGCATAAATGTAAGTCGAAAATATTAAGGGAGCAATATGAATATTAATGCACTAGAGTGTATTTTTGTGTCATCAAAGGAGAGGTTTAAATTATCATTCCATAATTTCCTTTTGTAGTGTATTAGCATATCCATTCATGATCAAACTCCCAGAGCACTATAAATAAGTCTTTTATCAGTCATTTTCACAAAATTCTGTTGAATTGCTTATAATAAGTAATTCCCATTCCCTGAATATTTACAGATGAGTGTCGATACAGGACTCAAGTGCTCTTCAAAAGCTCATGCACTTACACTTGTGAGGAGCTCCCATGAACTTCTGTTGTCCTTAATAATTATAATGACTACATCCTTACCATAGAGGAGAGTGAGGAGTGTTGTCAGGGGCGTAGCCATCATTTCAGAAGTGAGGGGGACAGAAATGTCAAATGTAATAATTGTATTTATTTATTTATTTACTTTGATTTTTTGACAAAAAAAAATTATAATCTCTTACTTTTAATTGGCTAAGAAATCAAATACATTGCTGGATACTACCCAATAATTTGTATTCTATTCTATTTTATTAGTATTATTATTCTATTTTTTTAGCATATTTTTTTCCTAATTACAATTTCATGATTGGTTTATATGCTGCAAACAATTTTTCAATTTTCATCACAGAATAAGATAAGAAAATATACTTTATCATTTCTGTACTGTAATAATGCACAATAAACAAAAGTTATTACTTCTATGAGTGCCGTTTTGGGCTTTTAGTGCGAGAGTGCCCTCCGGCTTCGAGGATGAATGAAACATACACTGCATGAGAGTCTTTAGCACTCCGTAATGTTTGAAAACCTTGAAAACCTCTACGTGAACACACTTGCACGAAAAAAGGGGGGACGAATTTACATTTTATTAAAAGTGGGGGGACACGTCCCCCACATATTCTACGCCCATGAGTGTTGTAACCCGGGATGAGTTGTAACACCATCTATTTAACTAATGAAATGAGCTGGGGGGTCATACGTGACCACCACGCGAGGTGATAGTAGAACTGATATAAGTCTCTGTGTAAGAATTTACAGGATTTTACAGTAAAGTGTAGTTTTATGTCAGTTTTATCTGAATCAGCAGGTTTCATTTTATATGTAACTGATTGTATCAGGCTTTTTTATCTGGGAAATGCCAAACAAGGAGGCTTTCAACTATTTCCATTGTACTTCTACTGAACTTATCAAGATTTTACAAAATTACAGTGAAAATACCACTACTTTTTAAAAAATACTTTTATTCAGCATGGATGCATTAAATTGGCCAAAAGTGACAGTACATACATTTTGATCAAACAATTTTTGTTGAAGGAGCAAAACTAACCAGAATAGCTGACCATGTTGTGTCTGAAATGTAAATAACTTTATATAACTTCTATATAACTTAAAATAAATTTTGTTTCTTTTTTTCTTTTCTATTCATCAAAGAATTGTAAAAAAAAAAAATTTAAATAATAATTATTACAGTTTCCCCAAAAATATTGAGAAGAACAACAACTGTTTTCAGCATTAATAATAATAATAATAAATGTTTCTTGAGCAGCAAATTAGTTTATTAGAGTGATTTTTGAAGGATCATGTGACACTGAAGACTGGAGTTATGATGCTGAAAATTCAGCTTTATATATTACATTTTAAAATCTAAAACTCTAAAACAGTTCTTTTAAATTGCATTAAAATCTGATTTTTTTGACAAAATCATTATTTTTTGCTCTATTTTGAGCCTTAATGAGCATATGAGATTTCTTACAAAAACATTTAAAAACTCTTACCGACCCCAAAATCAATTATGAGAA